TCATCTAGTCCAACCCCCTGCTCAGGCAGGAAACCCTATACCATTTCAGACAAATGGCTGTCCAGTCTCTTCTTAAAAACTTCCAGTGTTGGAGCATTCACCGCTTCTGGAGGCAGGTTGTTCCACTGGTTAATTGTTCTGACTGTCAGGAAGTTTCTCCTTAGTTCTAGGTTGCTTCTCTCCTTGGTTAGTTTCCATCTGTTGCTTCTTGTCCTGCCTTCAGGCGCTTTGGAGAATAGCTGGACTCCCTCTTCTTTGGGGCAGCCCCTGAGATATTGGAACACTGCTATCATGTCCCCCCTGGTCCTTCTCTTCGTTAAACTAGACATACCTAATTCCAGCAACCGTTCCTTATATGTTTTAGCCTCCAGTCCCCTGATCATCTTTGTAGCCTATCAAAGAGAAGGATTGGGGGGAGGGGGGAGACATGATAACTGTCTTCCGGTATCCTTGAGATATTGGAACACAGCCATCATGTCACCCCTCGTCCTTCTGACAAAATCAATGGGGAAGTCAGACTCACTTCACAACCGTGTTACTAACTGAACAACTGCAGTGATCTGCTTAATATCCCACCCAATTTCAAACTGTGCAATCATATTGGATGAGAAATCTAACAAGAGAAAAAAAATCTGCCTTTAATACTTCACTTTATCTAAGGCGTCATGAACCTCTGTTACGTTTGCAGACCTGAGTGTGCAGTGCTGGGCACACCTGCTAGGATTATGGCAGTGTTCCAGTATCTCAGGGGCTGCCACAAAAAAGAGGGAGTCAAGCTATTTTCCAAGGCGCCTGAAGGCAGGATAAGAAGCAACAGATGGAAACTAATCAAGGAGAGAACAACCTAGAACTAAGGAGAAACTTCCTGACAGAACAATTAATCAGTGGAACAACCTGCCTCCAGAAGTGGTGAATGCTCCAACACTGGAAGTTTTTAAGAAGAGACTGGACAGCCATTTGTCTGAAATGATATAGGGCAGTGGTGGTGAACCTATGGCACGGGTGCCAGAGGCGGCACTCAGAGCCCTCTCTGTGGGCACGCACGCCGTCGCCCCAGTCCTAGGCCTTCAGCTGGGTTTTATAAAACCTTTTCGCTTTAGGCCTCCGCCTCTGTGTACAAAAAAAAAAGGTTCAATCAATCAGTCAATTTCAACTTCTCGTGGGAAAAAAAAGATCTTACAAAGTTGGAATTGATTGATTGAACTTTTTAGTCCCACCCAATCTGCCGTTACCCCCGCAGCCATGCCCACCCAATGGGCCACACCCACCCAATGGGCCACACCCATCCGGCACCCGACAATGCATAAGTGGGTTTGGGGTTGCAGTTTGGGCACTCAGTCTCTAAAAGGTTCGCCATCACTGGTATAGGGCTTCCTGCCTGAGCAGGGGGTTGGACTAGATGACCTCCAAGGTCCCTTCCAACTTTATTATTATTATTATTATTATTATTATTATTATTATTATTATTATTATTATTATTATTATTATTATTATTATTATTATTATTATTATTATTATTTACGGAGAACTTCCCCAGCCTGGCACTCCCCAGATGTCCACCTGCTAAACATAGAAGATAGAATAATAGTATCTAGGTTAGATTGCTATCTGAATTTTGATCACATTACCATGGAGATACTGTAACAGTCGTAAGTATGAAAAATAGCCATGTCCCTTTTTTCAGTTTCGTTGTCACTTTGAATGGTTACTAAACGAACTGTTGTAAGTCGAGGACTATCTGTAGATGGAATGCTAAAACAAAAGCTGAACCAGCTACTCATGGTGGCTATGTGTATGCCATGCACTCACGGATAAATCAGTCATGATTTACACATTGATTCAAAAATAGGAACTAACCACAATTTTGCATAGAAGCCAGCTAGTTCATGGGTCAATGTGTTATGTACATCTACTCATGAGCTTTAAAAATCAGATTCCACAATAGCTGGATTCAAGTATCACAGCTTAGCACAATGTGCAAATCAGGCAGCAGCTTTAACCCTGAAGTCCAAATATCTGCAACATTCTTTTATCGCAGTATTTCCAATCTTGGTACCTTTAAGATATATGGACTTCAATTCCCAGAATTCCTCAGCCAGCCTGGAATATGAATATAATTTCCTTGTCTTTGCTCTTGAATTTTCCTTCGTACAGCAAAATTATAAACATAAACAATTAACATTTTGTCATCCTTATGGCCTTTTTTCAAATTGGCCAGATTTTCCAAGTTTGTCTTTTATTATTTCCAAGAAAACAGGATCGCCACACATTTAACTCGTTTTAGGAATTGAATATTCCCAAGAGAAACAGAATTTAAGCATCCCTTACCGCATGTTAAAGGGAGCCATCAGCCGGACCACATATTGCCTGTCCTTTGGAAGTTTAAGCTTAGGGATCTTGGATGGATCGAAATCTGGCGGGTAGTATTTCTAGAATGCCCAAAAATAAAAATAAAAATGACTTTTTTGCTTTCAATTTGATTTAATTCAAAAGATCAAAATACAAAATACAAACGAAAAAAAATTAAACACAGAACAAAACTAGACAAAAACATCTAAAAGTGAATTAAAAAACAAAAGACAAAACCACATATTAACCCCACCCCAATTTTCAATTTAAAAAATTGAAAAAAAGAGACACCCCCCCCCCCCAAAAAAAGAAATAACGGATCATTTATTGATACCAATAGCCTAGGCCACTGTTTCTCAACCTTGACAATTGTAAGGCATGTGGACTTCAACTCCCAGAATTCCACAGCCAGCAATGCTGGCTGTGGAATTCTGGGAGTTGAAGTCCACATGCCTTACAATTGTCAAGGTTGAGAAACACTGGCCTAGGCAGGCACAAGAC